TAAAAAAAAAAAAAGAAATATGACTAGCTTTGTTTTAATGTCATCCATGGATTTTTGGTGACTTTCTAGAAAGGTTTTTGAATGTTTCTATTACCCACTCAGGACAGAACTGCTGAAGCACTAGGGAGCGTAAATGAGGTGGTCAGAGGGAGGAGGCTGATGACAGTGGGAAGGCTCAGCAGTGGCCCTTCAGGGTTGTGTCAGTGTGAGGAGAAGGCCCTACCCACATACCCCAGGCAGGAGGGGGCAGCAGGGCCTGTCCCTCAGACCTCATGTCACGGGAGAAAAGATCTGACCTTCCTCCCATAGTTGAGAGTCATTATTAATCAAGTTGAAAGTACAGATGCATTCTGTCCCTTATCCACTCAACTGCCCCCAAAAACAGAAGCCCCGAGTAATGTTGGCTCGTCCTGATCTAGGAGTCAGCTCAGTCAAATATATTCTCATCTTCAATTCTGCTGAAAAATGTTAGGACGTTCCCCAACTAGGACAACCGTTGCTGTTTGTGTTCCTTAAATTTTTAATTATATAAATTTATATTTGTATATTTTGTATGTTTTCCTCCATTTAAGATATTTTCACAAACTGTCATTTAAATCCTGACATTAAATGTAAATTAAAGTAATAATCATTGAAGTAAAGGTAAGTAAGACAAATTTCTTAAATTAAATCTGAAGAAAAGCACAATGGATACTGAGGAACGTAATAATCCATAATGCAGAGAGTCAGGAGGAAAAAGCAGTTTCTACATTCCGCCTTTTTTCCTTTTATTAAGCCAGATTTCTCTGTAAATAACACGTTCCTGTCATTTTTGAGAAAGGCTTGAGAGGGAAGAAGAATGGGGAAGTCAGGACAGGAGCGTTACAAAATGCCAAACCTTCCCTGGACACCCCTCCCATCAGTCCCTTTCCTTGAAAGCACGTGAGCCTTGCCCAACGCATCCCCTGTTTGGAGATTTCCAGTCCTCTCCAGAATTTTTCCATAACCCAGAGGCATCCCACCCTGAAACAGTCATAACACATTCCCCTGTGGGCTCTGCTTTCTCCACCTGCCCCACCTTTGCTCAAAAATAAACAGGAGCCACCACTAGGCTAGATAATCCTGTTCTCAGCCCTCGCGGAGATTTTAACCAAAGACTTTGGGACTAAAGGATACGCAGGGTGACGCTGGAAACCCACTTGGGTCTCCCTGTGAACTTCTTTTCGTGAACCGCCTGCCAACACATAAATTCCTGCTAATTAGTTGATCCGGGTCCCTAGGGAGGGACTGGATTCCCTCCTCAGTCCTGTCCGTGGTCCCCCAGCTCGCCTCTCGCGGGTCCACTGAGGCAGGCTTGTTCAGCTGTCCCCACCTTCGCGGAGCTCCAGGGCACAGAGGCCCCGCCCACAGGCTGGCTCAGCCACTCGCAGCCTGAACAGGCGTTGGGGGCGGGGCTGACCGGGCCGGATCCCGACCCTAAAAAGGCGGCTTCGACCCACTGCCAGGCCTTCTGGACCGCAGGACACGCGTCTGTGATCGAGACTGCGCAGCCGCACGGCCACAGGTGGTCTTCTCTTGCGGAGCCTGAGCCGGGGGCCGTCGCAGAACCAGCGCGGCCGCCTGCCTTGGGGGTCAGGGGTTCGGGGCTCCCAGGAGGCGCTGTCCCTGCGCTTGACCCCTCCAGACAGGGCAGCCTGATTCCCCTGACGCCTCGCTGTCAGGCCCCGCCCCTCCCTGTGCCAAGATGCAAGTCCCCCGGAAGCGGCAGGAGGGTGCAGGGCGGGGAGCGGGGCAGCGGGCCCCCTGCACATGCCACACCCTCAGCCTTCCTCCACCGCCCCGTGGAAACCCTCGGGAGGATAAAGTCCCTGTTTGTACTCTACCTTAGCGGCTCTAACATCACGGAAGAAAGGAGCATGGCTTTTTAGGTGGTTTGGTCTAAGCAGAAACCCATGTGTTTTCCCTTCCTAGGTTTTGGAACATGCATCCTTCTCTCCTCCTGGCTGCCCTTTGCTTGGGAACAACCACAGCTGCTCCAGAAGCCGACCAGAGCTTAGATGCGCACTGGTCCCGGTGGAAGGCGGCGCACGGGAAGCTGTATGACGAGGTTGGTAACCGCTGCGGTGTCCAGTGAGACCCCCAGGGAATGTTCTGTGCTGGTGCGAGCTCACAGCAGAGAGTAGCTGCTTGAGGCCGCTCTAACCAAGGCGGTAAGCGGGGCACCGTGACTGCACAACGGCGGGGGCGTATGTCCGGCTGCGTGGTTGCTGGAGAGCAGCTCCCGGAGCGTCAGCCCAGCCCTGGTCAGGGTTTCCCCTCCTCTCTGTCAGCGCATCCGTTTGGTGCAGGTGAGTTGGTTTTAAATAGAAATAAAGATGATCGGTTATATGTTTTTCTGCAGAATGAAGAAGGATGGAGGAGAGCAGTGTGGGCAAAGAATATGCAAATGATTGAACGGCACAATCAGGAATACAGCCAAGGGAAACACAGCTTCACGATGGCAATGAACGCCTTTGGTGACCTGGTGAGGGTGGCATGGATTGCTGAATGTTTCATGCGTCCTGTCCTCAGTACTTTACCAAAAAATCTGCTGCTTGTCAACATTCTATTTCCTTTTCCTTGAAGACCAGTGAAGAATTCA